ATCCTTTTTTCTTTTTCTGTCGTTTAGTGTAACTCCGAATACCCCGAGGTCTGTCGTGGATAGCGGCCCGAGCATTGCTCCTGGGACCGTCGGGGGAGGGGTTTCGGCAGCTTCTACTCCTGTTAGTAGTAGTGCACCGTCGTCATCATCATCATACAAGTACTAGCAGGGAGATGAGCTGGCTGGGCAGTGCTGCTGTGGTGTTCAGGCCGACGGCTACGGCTGATTACTCTACGGGGTCGACGTATGTGGCGGCCACCCCTGGTGATGTTACGACGTCGACGACATCTGATAAGCTGAAGCACGGTGGAGAGGTAGGTGGTGTTTGGTGGTTACAGGGGTGAGGAGTCGGTGTAGGTCACTTGGGACTACACTAAGAAGGGTGGCAAGAAGGTTGGAGGGTGGATGAAGGACGGCTATGGTGCTGCCAAGAGGAAGTGGGGGTAGTCGCCTCTTCGTTGTTATTATTATCCACTATTGTCCAGCTTGAATTCTTTGCAATATTGCATCTCACTGTGTTTCTATTGGTTTCTGCAGGGCGGTGTAGCGTTGCTTCTGTTCGTCATCTTGGTCGGTCAAGGGTGATTGCCATTATCCCGAGGTGTTGTGTGGAGTGTCGATGATTCATAATGGGTGGGAGTTGGGGATGGACAGCTGACCGCAGCCTTCGTGGTAGTGGTAGTAGTAGGGAGAAGTAAGCGGAGTGTGAAGGTTCGGGTTAGACGTGGGTGCAACGACCGGAGATCACTAGGGGATGATGAGTAAGGCATGAGCGCTCCTTGAGGGGACGAGTTGAGATGCCTCATCTGGTCGGGTCGGAGGAAACTACCTCCGAATTGAGAAGGACGGTTGAGGAGTTATCACAGTCGTCGTCACCGTCGCTGTTGGTCTGATAATCTCCTTGTTTTCGACGATCGGATGACCATGGTGTCCTCGTTCAGGTGCCGCTATGGATGGGCAGCGTAACGGGTTTTTACGGTTTACGTAGCGGCGTGCGTAACGTAAACAGTTTACGGTTACGGAAAGGCGTTACGACTTTACGGTTGGTGCTGAACTGCTATTTTGGAATTTTGGCGGAAACATTCGCTGTAATGCACGATAGTACAAATAGTTGTTAAACTCATTTCTTGTGGCTCGGATCCAACCAAACCGCTGAGAGAGTAACATTTGGTTTCGCATTTACCACTCGTCTC